TCCGTGGCCAGCTGAACCAGCGCGTCGGTTTTGTTTGGGACACCTACAATAACAACCACTGCGTGGCTGAATAAACCGAAACGAGACCAGCAGGCGTATGCGCATACGAATTTGCATTTGTTGTCCTCACCCCCCTCCTCCTCCTCCTCCTGTCCCTCCTCCTCCTCTTCCTCCTCCTCTTCCTCCTCCTCCTCCTGCTCCTTCTTTCTCGTCCGCCAGAGCCGCCGAGCGGCGAATGTTGGATATTCGCAGTCAACGGCGACTTCGTCGAGGGGCGTCTTGGGGGAGGCACGCCCTCGAACTCGCTGCTTGTGTTTGGCGACGCCAGCGGAGGAAAGGACACCAGCTGCCCTATCTTCAGACTTGTGGGCTTGATCATAGCCATGTTCGACGAGCTCGAACCCACGGTCAGGCTCCGCACCATGGTCCGTCCGAGGGCCCCTGGCTGGATCGCGACAAGTGGTGGCGCGCGGGGAGCTGCGCGCTCTCTTCTTGGCAGCCTGGTGCACAGTCGGGGCCATTGTTTTTGTTCCCGATTGCGAGTCCGTGGTCCAAGGACGGTATTCTCGGAGGTACCTCCATCCTAGGGGACCCGACGGGGACCTGTGGGCACGGCTCGGCCAGATGCTAGCTTCAACCCCCGGCATTTGTTTAAAGAAAAAACATATGTATACAAATGCATGTCTATACACCTGCATGTCTATATACATATATATATATGTGTATATATGTGTATATATATATATGTATATATATACACATATCTATATATGTAATCACACAGATCGATTTACATGCCAACTCTCATCTCACGGGAAAGGATGTGGTGCGCCAGCGGGCGCTTAGATGGATGATCACAGGCAACAGCGTGGTGGATGAGGTTGCTGGTCTTGCCGCGTCGGAGGCCAGGCTTCCCACCCCAGTCCGCCAGCAAGAACTGTTGCACGAGAGAAGGGCCAGGCTCGTCAGGATGGGGATCCTGCGGGCGACGTCGGATGCGATGAGTGCGAAGAGCCACGCTCCGCGTGAAAAGCCATCGTCCTCCCTCCCTCCTTTTGGTGCTGCCTGCTTCCTCTTCTCCACTTCCCATTGTCTCGATAACGCGGGACGGGGTTACGCCAGGTGCCATGGCTCGGCTCCAGTATCCATTGTGATCGAGTGGCGAGCGACTTCGTGCTTCTGCCACGGTTTGTTGTGGTTTGATCCCTCCAGCGCCCCCCTCCACATAGCGGAGTGGCGCGTCCACGACTCTCATTATACACAGGTCCACGGACCATTGAAGCTATGGTATTGTCGTGATTGTGGTAGTTCGGTGCGAATCAGATTGCTAAGTTGGGCAAGCTTTGTCTCCGTAGGCTCAATCTTTCCAGGAGTTGATTATGTAGACCGAATCTCGAGAGGTTTGTGGCCAAAGGCCTTCAGCCAGGCTGAAGTCGCATCCAGGTTGCATCCAGGCGCTCGAAGGCCTAATCCGTCATGCACGTTTGAGGTATATGTGTGCAAGTACTGTGTCATATGATCATGCTCATGCTCATGCTCATGCTGCTCCTACTTCTCCTCCTCCTAATCCAATTAGCCGGCGCAGCATTTCACCCTTCATTTCGCGACGCTGCTTTAGAGTGTGTTCCTGCCCACGCGCCGGACGGCGCATGGCTTGTGAGTGAGTAGCGGGGCGGTTTTCGTGCCCAGGAACCGTGAGACACGGATCCGGGGTGAGAATTGCACCAAATACGAGAGGTCTTGGGGCCGGTATTGTGCGGATTTGCCCTCATCCCACTTTCTGGACAGTTTTTCTCGAGCCTCTCTTCTTCAGATCCCCAAGCCGCTTACAAGGAGCAGCCGTTTTGGCTCGCCCGTCACGCGTTCCGCGTTCCCCACAGGGGCCCCCACTACAGTCAAACCGCATAGTAAGGATGGGCAACTTTCCCAAGGGTAATTACCCTTGCATCCTTGCCTCCTCGGTCCATCCTTCGCCGCTTTCGCTGGCCGCGCTCCGCTCGAAAAGCTTCGAAATGGGCGTCTGAGGCCCTTGCATCCTTATCGCGCATCCTTGCTATTGTAGTGGCCTTCGGCCAGTGCCGCCGATCCGGGTCGCTCGGGGTTATTCTCCAGACGCAGAAATTATGGGCGCACACTCAAACGCACACACACAGTCACACCACTTAACCTGCGCCGCAGACATGCGCACACAGCATCACCCACACACACATACTAGTTGGGAAACGCTCCTGTAGTACTAGTAGTAGTATTAGTAGTAGTAGTAGTAGTAGTAGTAGTAGCAGTAGTAGTAGTAGTAGTAGTAGTAGTAGTAGTGTAGTAGTAGTAGTAGTAGTGGTTGTGGTAGTAGTGGTAGTAGTAGTAGAGGCCTCGTTCCGCGGCTTCTCTCGACTTCCCGCGGTCTCTCTCAAGTTTCGAGCACGCGGTGAGTTTCACGATATATGTGTGTGTATGTACGCGTGCATGCATGTATGCATGCATTGATCATGTGTGCCTGTGTGTAGGTACGTATGTATGTATGTATGCTTGTGCGCGTATGTATGTATTTAGTTTGTATGTATGTTTGTATGTGTGTATGATAATATGTGTGTATGTGTGTGAATGTAAGTATGTATGTCTGGAAGATTGTTTTTCTATGTATGCAAATGTGTTTAAATGTAGGTATGTATGCATGTGTGTATGGATGTGCGTTTGAAGAGCGAGGATGTTTCAAAGAAGAGGCACTCGGTGACGCGATCGTTGAGGGATAGGAGTGAGGTCGCAGAGGAGGAGGAGGAGAATGAGGAAGAGGCGATAACTTGAAGGAAAACGATGAGACGGAGGACATCCTGCCGGTGGCGCCCTGGGCGGTGCCGCGGAAGAAACCGGGGGCCTGCCGGAGGCAGTCTGGAGGCCTCTGGGGAGCTGTTTTGGGGCCTCTTGGAACCTCTTTTGGGCCTCTTGTGGGCTTCTTGGGGCCCCTTGGGGGTCTCTTGGGGCCTCCTGGGGGCCTCTTGGGGCGGAAAGCTCGGTTCTTTCGGTTCGTGGTCCCCCTCTTGGGCCCCTCTTGGGGCTCTCTTGGGGCCTTCTTGGGCTGTCCAGAGGCCCTCTTGGGCCGTCTTGGGGCCCTCTTGGGCCGTCTTGGGGCTCTCTTGGGCCGTGTTGGAAGCATCGTGGGCCGTCTTGGGACGGACTTGGGGGCCTCTTGGGCCGTCTTCGAGCGTCGGACGCCCGAAAAGGCAAGAACGCTAAAAACCCTGAGAAAACCAATGAAAATCAACGATTCTGGCCTCTTGGGGCCCTCTTGGGAGGCCTCTTGGAAGCTTCTTGGGGCGTCTTGGAGACACCTTGGGCCGTCTGGAGGCCATCTCGGGCGTCTTGGAGCGATTTTTCGGCGACTCGGGGCCCTCTTGGAACCCCTTGGGGGTCTCTTGGGCCCCCCCCCTCCTCCAAAGCGCCGGAAAAAGCGGAGCATGGCGCCCCCCCCCCCCCTATCTTCCACTCCCCCGGAGCGGCCCCGGGGTTCGCCGGAAACTCGCACCCCCCCCCCCCCCCCCACCCCCCCTTCCCCGGCAGAGCCACCCCGGCGACCCCCCCAGAGGCTGAAGCTCAGCCTCGAGGCTGTAGCTGAGACTCCTTGAAACTCACACGCCGGATCGGCGGACTGAGGCCCTTGCATCCTTATCGCGCATCCTTGCTATATTGGTTGACTGTACAGCGCCACAGGGCGCGACCGCCCATACCTCGTTCGCTTGCGGGGCCTTCCTGGCGTGCGAGGCTGCCGTGCGCTGCGCACGAGGAGGTCCTGGCACCAGGCTGTTGTGCTTTTGCAGTGGTCGGGCTACTTCATGGGCGAGCGCCCGTCGTTAGATTTTCTTCTGTCCCTATCTTCCTCTCCCTTTCTCCCTCTCCCTTTCTCACTTCTGTGTCCCTCGGTTTTTTCTTAGTTTCTCTTTCTTCGCTCTCTCTCTCTCTCTCTTTCTCTCTCTCTCTTGCTCTCTCCTTCTGGGGCCGCAAGGCACTCTGGCCGCCAATCATTATCATCTTGACGTGCCCCCCCCCACTCGGACCACCAGGGATCCGACGGGGACGGCCGCGAGGCCATGAGTGATGGTTGCCGTGCCAGCGCTATCGTGCAACGCACGGTCCGCAGGCAAGTCCTCACGCAGTAACTCATTGTGGCCAGCGGCCAGCAGCAACGGGACCGCGAGACAACTCTCACTGCCAGCATTCAGGCGCTCCACCACCGAGCCAATCAGCTAATCACCTTTTACACCAAATCCAGGAACAATCGGCACCGCTGACCGCCGGGCTCCACCGTGCGCAAGAGCTTTAGAGCGGCCTGCAGCAGGCCTTCCAGCCTGGCCTTCCGGCCTGCTGCGGCCATCGGTGCGTCCCCCCACGGCGACCTCGAAGCCTTCCTTGACGCTCAAAGGGCGGCACACCAGTGCTAGACCCTTTTTCCAGCGGGGCGCGTGATCTGCTGGCACCTGTTCCGTCGTCTGCTCCTTCTGGACCGCTGCAGGTGATGCCCCAAGGCGGCGCGGCTCTTCCCTGGGTGCCGAGTTGCGTATGCCAGAGCGTGCTAAAAGCTGGTGCCTTTCTCTGCACCAGGGCGTAGACGGGCCTTTGAGAAGTCCGATCACCGCCGCCCGCCCTCTTTTCCGGACGGGGACCCCCTTGAGTCGGCGCCAGGGGGGAGGTTATCCCACCACCCCTGTTTCATCTGCGGCGCCTCCCGCTTTGCGAGGAAACCCTGCCTGGCTCGAGTGGCCCGTGGGCATGGACGACCTGTCGTCCCAACTGTTGCGATCTTTCTCTTTCTCTCTCTCTCTCTCTGTTTCTCTATCTCCTTTTTTGTTTGTTTCTCGCTCTCTCTCTCTCTCGATCTCGCTCGCCCTCCCTATCCCTCGCTCTCCCTCTCCTCCTTTCTCCTTCTCTCTCCGTCTCTCTCTTCCTCCCCCCCCTCCCTCCCTGCCCGATGTTTGTCCCATCCATGCCTTTCCTCCCGCCGGCGCCGCCAGCACCAGCTCCTGCTGCAGCAGCAGCAGCAAGATCCCGCCGCAGCCGCCCAGCACGCCGCGTACCAGCAGCTCCTGGATGGGGGGGAGGGGGTCAGACGCCCGGCCCACGGGCATATTCCCCACCCTCTCTGTGCGACCCCCCGTGCTCCTTTCCCTCTGTATGCCTCTTGCTCTTGCTCTCTCTCTCTCTCTCTCTCTCTCTCTCTCTCTCGGAGGAGGAGGAGGAGGAGGAGGAGGAGGAGGAGGAGGAGGCCAGCTCAAGGTCTCCTCCGCCTCCGCCTCCCCATTTCCCTCCTCTTGCTCCTCGGTCGCGCTGGCCTGTTCTAGCAAGGCGTGGTGACTCGCAGGTTTTGGTGTGATGGGATTGCCGTTTTCTGTTTCTGCGATCGGTGCCGTCAGCCTCTGCCTCAGCCTCAACCCCACCACCCCACAATTTCTGAGGGGGAAGGTGTGGTAGGGCAGGGCTGGACCTGAACGCTGTTTTGCTGGACTTCGGCTGTGTCTTGCTTCTCGTTTTGGCAGGGAGGCACAGGAGAACAGGCAGAGCAAAACGAAACACACAACGAAAGTAAGACGAAACACAACGTTCAGGTCCAACCCTGGGGCAGGGTTCGCACGTGGCCTGATGTCTCTCTCGCCCCCTCCGCGGCCGCCCTCTTCTCGCTTCCCGTCCTGCGGGTGCACAGCTCGCCCCGCGGCGCCCCCGCTTCGGCCGCGGGCGCAGCGCGCGTTCGCCCCCCGCTGCGGCCCACGAGTCTTGAACCGCCTCGCGTCGGCGGAGTGCCCTACGGTTGGACGGCTTGAGCGTGTGGCATCTTGGCACGCTGGGGTGCGGACAGAGGGAGGAGGAGGGAGTGGAGGAGGCTGCGGAGGAGGAGGAGGTGGAGGAGGTGGAGGAGGAAGATGACAAGAAGGAGGAGGAGGAGGAGACGGACGGATAATGAGGAGGTGGACGAGACGGGCGAGGGGAGGATGGGGGAGGCGGAGGAGGCTCAGGACTCGGGAGGAGGTCGGGCGTTGAGGCAGAGCGCGCCATTGTGGGCGACCCCTCGGCCCGGGCTGCGCCGCTGGCAGGGCCACGGAGCCTGTATGACAACTGCGATCTTCAAGTGTTCGCCCAGCGGCACCAGGGGCTGGTGCCGCGTCAAAGAAGGAGGAGGGGGAAAGATAATGAGCTCTCTTTGTGGCCTCTTGCGGCCCTTTCAGCGCCCCGTGGGGGCGTCCTAGGGGCCTTTTGGGGGGCCTCTGTTTTTTTTGGGGGGGGGGGCCTCTTGAGGCCTCTTGGGGCCATCTTAGGCCGCCTGGCGCCTGCGGAGACTGTTTGGGCCATTGAGACATCCTTCGTCAAGGGGAGGTCAACGAATGTTGTTGCTGGATGCCCCCCTCGAGCACCTCTTGTGGAGCCCTCCTGCGCCGTCTTCGGGGGCTTCTTGGGCCGTCTTGGTGCCACATGGGGCCGTCCCGGGGCCATCTTGGCCCGTCCTGTCACGTCTTGAGGCCGTCTTGGGGCCCTCTCGGACCGTCTCAAGGTCATCGTGGCCCGTCAAGGGCCAATTTTGAGGCCATCTTGAGCCGTTTGGAGGCCATCTTTTGCTTCCAGGCAGGCCCAGATGCCCTGGACTCGAGGTCCTAGTTCCCGGGAGCTGTTCTGGCGGGCATGCATGAGCCCACCTCTCCCTGTTTTTGATGTTGCATGTTGTCCCATATCGTTCCCCCTTTTTCTACATCATTCCCTCTTGTTGTTCTCCCCTCCCCTTTTTCCTTTCCCTTACACTCCCTTTCCGACTGACGTCCTTCTGTCCGTCTCTCTTCATGCTTAGCGCCAGCCATGTACGGTAGGTGGCGGACCCCCCCGCGGGGCATGTCTTGTTGAGGGTCAGGGGCGGAGGCTTGTTTTTTCCCCAACCATCTTGTGGTTGTGGGTCCTCGTTTTGAAGAGACAGCGCCCCGCGTCACTCACCTCACCCCGTGTCGCTCACCTCACTTCTCTCGTCCTCCTTCCCCCTCCTCCCATCATTCTCCCACTGCCCCCCGCATGACAACCTGTTCAGCACATCCCCAGCACGCTTCGTGGCTCCGTAGGGAGCTCCACCGAAGGCCACAGTGGCAAAGTTTGCATGCAGTTCTTCACCCATGTCGGCACACCCCTCACACGCTTTGCGCCTTCATATGAAGCTCCACCGAAGGTCTCAGTGGCAAAGTCCACATGTGCTTCCCCGCCCATTCCAGCACACCCCTCACACGCTTCGTGGTCCCATAGGAGGGGGCTCCACCGAAGGGCCCCAGTGACCAAATCCGTATGTGAATTCCCGCCCATTCGGGCACACCCCTCACACGTTTCGTGGCCCCGTGTGGAGCTCCACCGAAGGACCCAGTGGCAAAGTCCACATGCCGTTCCCCGCCAATGCGGACACACCGCTGACACGTTTCGCGACCCATAGGGCACTGGCACTCCACCAGTGGCAACGTCCACATGCGGTTCCCCGCTCATTTGGGCACACCCCTCACACGCTTCGTGGCCCCGTAGGGAGCGCCACCGAAGGACCCAGTGGTAAAGTCCACACGCGGTTGCCCGGTCATGTGGGGACACCCCTCACACGCTTCGTGGCCACGTAGTGAGCCCCACTGGAGGCCCCAGTTGTAAAGTCCACATGCGGTTCCCCGCCCATATGGGCACACCCGTCACGCGCTTCGCAGCCTATGGGAGCTTCACCGAAGGCCCCAGTGCCAAAGTCCACATGCGGTTGCCCAGTCATGTGGGGACAACCCCTCACACCTCATAACGGGGCCCCACCGAAGTCCCCAGTGGCAGAGTTCGCATGCGGTTCCCCGCCGATTTGGCCACCCCCCTTACACGCTTCGTGGCCCCATAGGGAGCCCCACCGAAGGCTCCAGTGGCAAAGTCCACACGCGGTTCCCCGGTCATTTGGGCACACCCCTCACACGTTTCGCGGCTCATAGAGAGCCCCACCGAAGGCCCCGGTGGCAAAGTTCGCATGCGGTTCCCCGCCAATTCCAACACACCCCTCACACGCTTCGCGGCTCCATAGGCAGCCCCACCGAAGGCCAGTGGCAAAGTTCGCATGCGGTTCCCCACCAATTTGGGCACACCTCTTTCACACATCGTGGCTCCATGGGGAGCTCCGCCAAAAGCGGCGCCCACAACGCGGTACTCACAATTGCATATGGCTGGGTCCTTTGCCAGGATCAAGTTTTGTCATGTCGAGCAGATCTTCTAGTTCGCGGACATCCTTTCCAGCCACTTTCGCGATCGAATGCAAGTTCTGGGTCGAGAGATTGCTTGTTTGGGGGATGCAAGAAGGCGAAGATAGGTTCGACCTGGTTTGCCATGGTTCGTTTAGAACGTGGTTGATGTCACCAGTGCTTTTGGCTGGTTATGGTGTGTGATTTCTGAGTCCTGCAGAAACATGTAGTCGTGAGTTCAGTGAGAAGAAGACGAAGGCAGCACGTATGATATTGTACAGTTGCAGGCTGCCCCGACAAAACAAGTGTTTTTGAGCGTCGGCATTGCTCGGTATGCATCGGTTCCACTCCCCTGCTTCACCCCACACCACCACCATTTATGTTGGACTTACGTGTGCTCTCCACGGCAGTTGCATGAGGATGCGAGCGCGCATCTGCTCGCCTGGGGATCTAAGCATTTTATCTGGACTGATGTGGTGGCATGCCTGGTCAAATTTGCATAACGGCGTGTTCCTCAGCGTTTGCAGTTGGACATGCTTGAGAAGCCAATTTCAACCATCTGGCGAGTGGGTGAGCACTCGGTAAGTGTTGGAGGGTGTTGGTGAGCGTTCCGCTGTAACGAACTGATGCGGCGTCCTAATATCTTGACGTTCACATTGTTCGAAGCCGTCGCAGTTCGAGGGAGGTTTGTGTCGTTGAACGAATTGTTGGAGCGAGTGGGTGCGTGAGCGTATGATGCCGCGGATAAGCTTGCTGTCATGCGTATGACTGCATGTCGACGAAAGGCCAGTTCGCATCTCCTGTCAGTTTGTGCTTAGCTCATGCAATTCGTGGGGCAGGCTGCGGCAAGTTTGCAGCAACAGCAGTCCCTGCAGTTGCAGCAGCAGCAGCAGCAGGCCCTGCTGCAGCAGCAGGCGCTGCAACAACAACAGCAGCAGCAGGCCCTGCTACAGCAGCAGTTGACGCAGCAAGGTGCTCCTGGCAGCCCAGTAGGATGCCACTCTCCTTTCATTGCTCGCCCGTCGTGCAAAGGTCACTGATTCTTCTCGCTTCGCGGGGTGCACGTCCGGACCGCGGAGAGCACGGGCGTGTCGGGTGTTTTTGAGTATGATCAGTCAAGTCTTTGTGGCGACTCCTGCGAGCCTCCTGGGGGCGTCTTGGGCCGTCTTGGGGCGCTCTTGCGCCGTCTGGATCCTTTAGCTAACCCGCGGGCGGGCCTGTTGAAAGCCTCGTGGGGCCTCGAGGGGCCTCTCGGGCCGTGCTGGGCCATCCTGGGGTCCAATGGGCGCCTCTGTGGAGCGTATACGAGCCTGGCGACCGGAAGGCGTAGGGCATGGGCTTAAGGGAGTCTTGTGGGAGGCGTTTGGGTCCCTCTCGGGGGCCCGTTGGGGGCCGTCTTGGGTGCCTCTCGGGGCCGCCTCGTGGCCGTCTCGGGGCCCTCTTGGGCCGTCTCGGGGGCCTCCTGGACCGTCTTGGGGGCCTCATGGGGCCATCTTGGGGCCCTCTAGGGACTCTAGGGCGGTCTGGGGGCCCTCTGGGAGGCCTCATGGGCCGTCGTGGCGCCATTTGGGAGGCTGCTTGGATTGTCATTGGCCCGAATGGACCGAAAAAAAGAAAACGCTAAAATGGGGAGCCTTATGGGGCTGTCTTTGAGTGGCCTCCTTGGGGCCTTATGGGACTGTCTTTGGTACTTCCTAGGCTCTCTGAGAGCCATCTTGGGCCGTCCTAGAACTGTCCTGGGCAGTTTTTGAAGACAAGATGTGCCGCTTGGACGCCCCTGTGGACTCGGAGGAGGCCCGAGAAGCTAGAATATTGCTCTACAGGAGGAATGGCCAAGCATATTCAAAAGATAGTCTGCGGACGATGTTTCATTTATTATGTTTGGCAATTTTCGTGAGTGTATATATGTATGTATATATATAGAGAGAGAGAGAGAGAGAGACAGAGAGAGAACATTTGTCGTCCAAGATCCGCCTGCAGGGGGACATGCCGGACCTAATGTCCAGGGGGGTGCTTTGCAACGCATAAGAATGCAATATTGTGCGGTTGGCCTTCCTGGACGTCTCCTGGCGTGGCCCTTGCGTCGCATACCAGTCCTGTCGGACTGCCGAGACGCTTCGCTGCATTCCGGGCGTGGATTCCTCTTGATTCGTGGGGTGCACGTCCGGAGCGCGTAGAGTCGTTATGGGGCCTCGTGGCGGCCACTTGGGGGCCCCTTGGAAGCCTCTTGGGGGCTTCTTGGGGCCTCTTTGGGGCCTTTTCGGGGCCTCCTGGGGTTTCCTGGGGACGTCTTGGGACATTTTGGGGCGCTCTTAAGTCGTCTGGCCTCCTCGGAGGCCGTCTTGGAGGCCTCTCGCGGCCGCCTTGCGGCTCTCTTGGGTTTCTCATGGGCCGTCTTTTGGGGGCCTCTTTTGTCTGTCTCGGGGCCCTTTTAGGCCGGTTTGCGGCCCCCTTGGGGGCCTCTTGGGCCGCCTTCGGGCCTTCTTGGAGGCTGCTTGGGCCGTCATGGCTTTCTGAGAGACGAAAAAGGGGAGAGCCCTAACATTACGCTACCGAGGAACCCCACATACTTTTTTGTTTGCTATGCGCGTTCACATACAATATCGTGTTTCGCCATCCTCCACACACCCTCGCGCTAGCTGCACCCCCAACCATCATCAGTCATATACGCAATCCACGCCAGACGAACCAAACTGACCAGCCAGACTGACCAGACAAGCAACATCAGCCCGATCAGCAATCTCAGCAATCCCAGCCAAACCCAGCCAGGCCAATCAACCAAATAAGTGAGAACAAACATATTCGTCACACCACCAATCGCAGCCAGAATAAGCCAGACTAACCACACGAACCAGCCAGGCCAACTAACCACGCCATCCAGACCAACCAGCTCAGACCAACCATACCATATCAAACCAAACCAGACCTGACCAGACCTGACCGCACCGACCACACCAACCGACCGCTGCACGGCCAGCACCATAACGGCCTCTCCAACAACGGCCCTCGGTGACCACGCCGTGTCCTTCCAGACTGGGGAACATCCGTCGGGGCTGATGCATGCGTCTTCCGCTATGAATCTGGTGGACTTCGAGGAGTGAATGGGAGAGAGAAGACCAGGAGGGGGAAGAGGAGAGAGAAGGATGGAAAAGAGAAGATAATAGTAAAGGAGGGAGGAGGAGGGAGGATACGCGACGGCCGCCGGGAGAGTTCAAGGAGGGAGAAGAGAAGGGAAAAGGAAAGGAGGGAGGGAGAAGAGGAGGGAGGAGGAAAGGAGGAGGGAGGAAAGCAAGGGGAGAAGGGATCCATGCCGGGGGGGCAAGGCAAGGGGGAAAGAAGGCGGGGGGGGAGGAGATTGGGAAGGAGAGAAGAACAGTTTTTGTTTAACGACCGCTATGCAACATGTTCTTCGGCAGAAAACCTCCGAGTGAAAACAACCTTTGGCGGAAAGCCTCCGGAAGCGAGGGGCAATAAAGACGGAGCGCTAGCTCCGCCGAGCATGTCGGGCTGCAATGCGAACAGACGAAGTGTCGGCACATCCAATATGTAGGATCCAGCGTTCGTAGAGTACCTTTAAAGCGCCTGCCACAAGGCTGCATCATCGCCCCGTCTCGAAGGCCAATACTCTGGATCAGCAGCTCGCTTGTCCGCGAACTCAGTGTACCACCTGACTGCTTTGGTATCCGCTTGTGAGGACAAGTTACCGAGCTGGCTAGACTCGCGCAGTCCATGCGACCACGGCCCCTGCGACCAACGGTAGTCGGTGTCCGCCGGCTCTGGGGACTGCTGCATGCGAGGCGTGCCAGTGGACCGAACAGAGGTCGCCAACAATACTGCCGGAGACCGCGACGGGGTGAAAGCCTGCGCTGGCAGCGCTTTCGCAGACGTGGGCTCCACGGGCGTGGCCTTCATAGGAGTGGCATGCAAGGCTGACGTGGGTTCTGGGTCAGCGCTCGTGCTGGCGGTCTCGAGCACTCGCCGAACCTCCGTTGGCGGCGTGCCTGTCACCACCTTCCCAACCATATCTGAAGGGGCGTCTCTGGGAAACCCGCGAGAGGCAGGGGCTTGCAAGTACGTTACCAAACGCTCCCTCCTGGCATCATCGTTGGCTCCTTTACTCAGCTCATCGTATCTGATAAAGAGGCGTATCAGGCCACCAGTTTGCCAGCTGGCGGGGGTAAGCTTTAAACGCACCATTGACCAGAGCGCTCTTTTCGTCGCTCATTCGGACCACACGTAACCGCTCTCGACCATAAAAGTCTTCAGCTGCAAGCACGGGAGCGGCAGCGCGGCGATAGCACACTTGGGAGGCATCTCGTTGGAAGGAAATCTGCGCCACACCAGCGCAGAGACCCCGGCGGCGCGGCGCGGAAGCCAAAACGTGTCGTGCGTTCAACTCGAGCCAGAGTGTTTACAGTCCTGCTGTGGAGGAAATGTTGCTGCGGCCGCGTTCTGCGCCATGTCCCGCATAGACGCCGCCTTCGAGGACCACCCCCTGCGCACCCCCTGTGGTGTCGAGAATATGCCGCGCCTGCCATGCCCTGCGCCATGGCCCGCGTAGACGCCGCGCTCGGAGACCACCCCTTGTGCACCCCCGGTGGTGTCGAGAATATGCCGTGCCTGCCACGCCCTGCGCCATGGCCCGCATAGACGCCGCGCTCGGAGACCACCACCTGCGCACCCCCGTACGAGGTCGAGAAAGTGCCACACCTGCCACGCCCTGCGCAATGGCCCGCATAGACGCCGCGCTCGGAGACCACCCCCAGCGCACCCCCTGTGATGTCGAGAAAGTGCCACACCTGCCACGCCCTGCGCCATGTCCCGCATAGACGCCGCGCTCGGAGACCACCCCCAGCGCACCCCCTACGAGATCGAGAAAGTGCCACACCTGCCACGCCCTGCGCCATGGCATAGACGCCGCGCTCGGAGACCACCCCCTGCGCACCCCCTACGAGATCGAGAAAGTGCCACACCTGCCACGCCCTGCGCCATGGCCCGCATAGACGCCGCGCTCGGAGACCACCCCTGCGCACCCCCTACGAGGTCGAGAAAGTGCCACACCTGCCACGCCCTGCGCCATGGCCCGCATAGACGCCGCGCTCGGAGACCACCCCCTGCGCACCCCCTACGGGGTCGAGAAAGTGCCACACCTGCCACGCCCTGCGCCATGGCCCGCATAGACGCCGCGCTCGGAGACCACCCCCTGCGCACCCCCTACGAGGTCGAGAAAGTGCCACACCTGCCACGCCCTGCGCCATGGCCCGCATAGACGCCGCGCTCGGAGACCACCCCCTGCGCACCCCCTACGAGGTCGAGAAAGTGCCACACCTGCCACGCCCTGCGCCATGGCCCGCATAGACGCCGCGCTCGGAGACCACCCCCTGCGCACCCCTACGAGGTCGAGAAAGTGCCACACCTGCCACGCCCTGCGCCATGGCCCGCATAGACGCCGCGCTCGGAGACCCCCTGCGCACCCCCTACGACCCACACCTGCCACGCCCTGCGCCACGCCGCATACGAGCGCCGCCACGCCCTGCGCCATGGCGCATAGAGACCACCCCCTGCGCACCCCCTTACGAGATCGAGAAAGTGCCACACCTGCCACGCCCTGCGCCATGGCCCGCATAGACGCCGCGCTCGGAAACCACCCCCAGCGCACCCCCTACGATATCGAGAACGTGCCACACCTGCCACGCCCTGCGCCATGGCTCGCATGGACGCCGCGCTCGGAGACCACCCCCTGCGCACCCCCTACGGGGTGAGGAAAGTGCCACACCTGCCATGCCCTGCGCCATGGTCCGCATAGGCGACGCGTTCGGAGACCACCCCCAGCCCACCCCCGTACGAGGTCGAGCAGGTGCCACACCCGCCACGCCCTGCGCCATGGCCCGCACACACGCCGCGCTCGGGGACCACCCCCTGCGCACCCCCTACGGGGTGAGGAAAGTGCCACACCTGCCACGCCCTGCGCCATGGCCCGCATAGACGACGCGGTCGGAGACCACCCCCTGCGCACCCCCTACGGGGTGAGGAAAGTGCCACATCTGCCACGCCCTGCGCCATGTCCCGCATAGACGCCGCGGTCGGAGACCACCCCCTGCGCACCCCCTACGAGATCGAGAAAGTGCCACACCTGCCACGCCCTGCGCCATGGCCCGCATAGACGACGCGCTCGGAGACCACCCCCTGCGCACCCCCTACGGGGTGAGGAAAGTGCCACACCTGCCACGCCTTGCGCCATGGCCCGCATAGACGACGCGGTCGGAGACCACACCTCAGCCCCCCAGCCGCGCTGCGAGCGCGCGTCGCGGCCTTCGCTGAGCTGTATGCTGTGCTGCTGTGTTGTGTTATGCTGCGCTGCGCTGTGCTGTGCTGCGCTGTGCTGTGATGTGCAGCTGTGTGCTGTGCTGGGCTTTGCTAGACTGTGCTGTGCTGCGTTGCGCTGCGCTGCGCTGTGTTATGCTGTGCTGCTTGAGAAGGAGAGGGGGCAGGGAGGGAGGCGAGGTGAGAGCCGCGGGTGCGACGCGTGTGGGTGAGGAGAGGAGAAGAGGGAAGAGGGGAAGAGGGAGGTGAGTGAGTGAGTGAGCGTCGCGGGTGGGACGCGGCAGGGAAGAAAACCATAACCCCACGAAGCATGTGGGGAATCAACCAACAACCAGTAAAACATCAATGATTTTGGGCCCTGGAGGCGTTCGTGGGGATCCTCTTAGGGCATGTTGGGCCGTCTTGGGGACCTCATGGGCCCTCTTGAGGCCATCTTGGGGCCCATTTGGGTTGCCTTGGGGGCGTCTTGTCCCGTCTTTGAGGCCCAGGGCTTCTGGGCGGCCTCCCGGGGGGCTCTTGGGAGCCTCTTGGAAGCCTCTTGGGGGCATCTTTGGGCACCTGTGGGCCCGCTTTGGGGCCTCTTGGGGCTTCTTCGGGACGTCTTGCGCCGTCTTGTGGCGCTCTTGCGTTGTCTGGCCCCTTCGGAGGCCATCTTGGAGGCCACACGCGGCCGCCTTGGAGCTCTCTTGGGGGCTCCTTGGACCGTCTCGGGGGCCCCTTGGACCGTCTTGGGGGCCTCTTTTGGCCGTCTCGGGGCCCTCTTGGGCCATCTTGGGGCCCCCTTGGGAGCCTCTTGGGCCGTCTTGGGGTCTTTTTGGAGGCTGCTTGGGCCGTCATGGTCCTCAGCGAACCGATAAAGGTGAGAACTCTAAACTTTGTCGAACACCGATGGGAAATTAGCCTCTGGAGGCGTGTTTGAGGTCCTCTTGGGGCCCTCTTGGGCCGTCTTGGGGGCCTCATGGGCCTCTTGGGGCCATCTTGGGGCCATCTTGGGCCAACTTGGGGCCGTCTTGGGCAGTCGTGGGGCCATCCATCTTGGGGCCCTCTTGGAGTCCCAAGAGGCCCAAGAGGCCGAAGTTGCTGATTTTCCATATGTTTGTGTAGGTATTGGGCACGAGTATTTTATGCCTCCACATTTGGTACGGCGCTGTGGCGCGGCTCCTGGGTGGGGGGGGGGAAAGGGGGAGACATGATTGCGTAACACAATCAATACAAGTCGTACCATTCTGTCATAGTGGGATACATTGCAAGTGTGCAATCATTGGATACACTGGATACGTTGCATTCGGGCTTCCGCTCCGCCCCGCGACAATACAACATGTAGCAATTATGCCATATGCGGGTGTATTGGGTACGTTGAATTACCGCATCCGCGGACCTGCCTCCGGCAACACGCCACCTCCGGACGTGGATTCCTCTCGCTTCGCGGGGTGCACGTCCGGAGCACGTACAGTCACGTCGTCGTGGAGCCTCTTGGGAGCCTCTTGGGGGCCTCCTGGAGGCCTCCTGGGAGCTTCCTTGGGCCTCTTGGGGACTTCTTTGGGGCCTCTTCCCCCTCCCTCCTTTTCATACTCCCTCCCCATATTTCCTTCCAGCGCCGGCTCTAATCATGGGCGCCGCTGTGACGAACTTCCACCTGGCTGGCGCTGCGCCGCAGTTCGCCCAGGTTGGAAAAATGACATTACACTCCAGTCGCTGTGTGGCCTTTGGGGGGCTTCTTTGGAGCCTTTGGGAGGCTTCTTGAAGACATCTTGGAGGCCTCTTGGGGGCTTTTGGGGGCCCCTTGGGGGCCTCTTGGGGGCCTCTTGGGGCCTCTTGGGGGCGTCATTGGCTGTATCGCTTTTGCGCCGTTTCGCCCCTTTGGAGGCCGTCTTGGGGGCCTCTCGCGGCCGCCTTGGGGCCGTCTTGGGGTCCTCTTGGGCCGTCATAGAGGCCCCTTGGACCATCTTGGGGGCCTCTTTGGGCCGTCTTGGGGTTCTGTTCCGCCGTATTGAGGCCCTCTTGGAGGCTTCTTGGGTTGTTCTGGAGCGATTTGGGAAGCTGCTTGGGCCGCAAAGGCGAGAACGTTAAAATATGCCCAAACCAAGGGGAAATCAATGATTTTGGCATATCGAGGCGCAGTTGTGGGCGCTCTTGGGGTCCTCTTGGGCCGTCATTGGGGTTGTTTGGACCCTCTTGGGGCCGTCTTGGACCGTCTCGGGGCCGTCTTGGCCCGCACAGAGCCCATCTTGAGCCGTCTTGGCGCCCTCTTGGCCCCCCAAGAGGCCCAAGAGGTCAAAGTCATAGATTTTCTCTAGGTGTTGGTCGGTTTTTGAGCCCCGGGAGTGGGGGGGCCACTTTGGTCCGCTCCTGTGGCGCAGCTCCCAGGGGGGGGGGGACGGGGGGAGACATAATAATGTAGCACAATACAGCATGTGGGAATTCTGCAAACATTGGACACATTGGATCCACTGCGTTACAGCATCCGCGGACAACGCTGCCGCTCAGCACGTCACTTCCGGACGTGGATTCCTCTCGCTTCGCGGGGTGCACGTCCGGAGCACGTACAGTCACGTCGTCGCGGGGCCTCTTGGGAGCCTTTTGGGGGCCTCCTGGAGGCCTCCTGGGAGTTTCTTTTGGCCTCTTGGGAACTCTTTGGGGCCTTTCCCCCCTCCCTCCTTTTCACACACCCTCCCCATCTTCCTTCCAGCGCCGGCTCTAATCATGGGCGCCGCAGTGACAAACTTCCACCTGGCTGGCGCTGCGCCGCAGTTCGCCCAGAGGGGGGAAAGTAACATTACACTCCAGTCGCTGTGTGGCCTTTGGGTTTTTTTTTGGGGGCCTATTGGAGGCTTTTGGGGGACTTCTCGGAGGCTTCTTGGGGGCCTCTTGGGGCCTCTTGGGGGCGTCTTGGGCCGTTTTGGGGCGCTTTTGCGCCGTTTCGCCCCCTCGGAGGCTGTCTTGGGGGCTCTTGTGTTGTTCTGGAGCGATTTGGGAAGCTGCTTGGGCCGCAAAGGCGAGAACGCTAAACTATTACCAATCCAAAGGGGAATCAATGATTTTGGTTTCTGGAGGCGCAGTTGTGGGCTCTCTTGGGCCCTCTTGGGCCGTCATTGGGGCTTTGGGGGCCCTCTTGGTGCCGTCTTGGACGGTCTCGGGGCCGTCTTGGCCCGCACAGAGCCCATCTTGAGCCGTCTTGGCGCCCTCTTGGCCCCCCAAGAGGCCCAAGAAGCCGAAATCATAGATGGTTTATAGGTTTGGGGAGGTTTTGGAGACCCGGGAGGGGGGTGGCCACTTTGGTCCGTTCTTCTGGCGCAGCTCCCAGGGGGGGCTACGGGGGGCAGCACATGCGCTGGCTGATCATCGACGAGGTGGAAAACGTTGTCGGTGGAGCTGCTGGACGCCGTGCACAGGCAGGTGAAGGACTCGACGAGGGACAAGGGAAACCCCTGGGCCGTGGACGCGCGCGTCCCCAAACAGTTCGCCATGTTTGGAGGGCTCAACCTGGTGCTGCTCGGGGACCTGTGGCAGATCCCACCAGTCAGGAGTCTCAGTATTGCCGCCAATCCATTCGTCAAGCGGCCCCCCAACGTTGGCCGCGTACTGGAGATGTTCTGGACCGAGGGCATGCCGCACTCGGCAACTCACCGCTACGCACTGAGCCAGTCGCACCGCTGCTCAGACCCGTGGTGGAGGAGCTTCCTCGCAGCAGCGCGCGCGGGGGATCTGTCGGACAGGATGTACGATTTCGTTCACGGGTTCCCCACTGATGCGCCCGGCTCGTGGATGCCCGCAAGCCCCGGCAGTGCCGAGGCCCGGGCGGGGCACCTCGGCTGCGGGAAGGCGAAGTGCCGCGCGCTCTGGTCAGTTGAGTGGCCACGGATGTTCGGAGAGGGTCGGCCTTGGGGCGACATGCGAGCTCTGGAGTGCGCAGATTGCAGCGCGGAACGCCGTCGGCGCTGCCGCGTCGCCTCTCAGAGCGATGCCAGACAGCGGGAGGTGACCACGGCGTTCGCGGACGCGCTGTTCGCGCACCCGTACAACGCCCCGAAAAGCATGATTTTGACACTGCGAGCGGCGAATGCGGCAGCCAATGTTGGGAAGCAGCTCCTCTGGGTGGTGGCGCGCGACGTCCCCCTCACTCGGGACGACGCATGCAGGTCGAAGGAGTCGCTCGCGAACGCCAGGCAGAACTGGCTCATGTACCCAGAGAACAAGACTGGCGGAGTTCCTGGTGTCCTTCCGATCTTCCACGGCATGCGCGCTCGTGTCACCGCGACGGAGAACGCGGAGGCGGGAGCTTGCAAGCACTCCTGAGGGACCGTGACGGGCTGGGACCTCCACCCCGACGACGCGAAGTTGGTGAGCGAGCACAGGTCCGAGCCAGAGCTGGTGCTGCAGCACGTGCCCGACGCGATCATGGTGAAAATCCTTGGGAGCACGGCGCGCCCTCTTGGCAATCAGCCGGCGGGTGTCTTCCCCGTGAAACAGAAGGAGGTGTCATGGGATCGCAGCCCCGGTTTCAAGGCCATGGTGAAGCGCGCGGGATTCCCGCTTGCCCCGCATTTCGCCGCCACGGCCCACTGCGTCACCGGCGCCGCGCTGCCGCAGGCCATCATCGACCTCTTGGACGCGCGCACGACGCCCGGGGCCCGTGCGTCCATGGCGCCCGCGGGCTACGTGGCCATCAGCCGAACTAGGAGGGCTGACGACCTGATCATCACCCAGCCTTTTTCCCCCATGCTGTTCCGCCAGGGGCATCAGACGGGCCCATGGCTCCTGCGCCCCCTCACAGCAGGGGAGATGACGACGGAACAGACGCGAGCTGGCTGGGCCAAGGCAGAGAAGGAAGCCGCGTCAAGGTCGTCGAAGAAGTTGGTGGACGCCACGTTCCAGCGCGCCGACTGCCACCAGCGAAAAAGACCGGGCAACTTCCCGGGGAGTGGCATGAGGGCGAGCGACCCCGTGGAGCACGCCGCGGGGGTGCTGAGCCAGGGCGCGTGGAGGAGGTGCGCCCTCTGCGCGCAGAAGAAGGCCGGAAAGGACGTGCAGAGGCCAGCCCCTCTGCCCAGCGAGCTCCGTTGCTTTGAATGCGGCAAAGCCAGGCGCGTCTCGGAGTACGACAAGAAGATGTTGGAGCAGTTGCGCTCAAATGACGCCCTCGAGAGAGCGGCATGCCTGGCGCGTCGCCCCGCGCAACTGCACCGGCCACCGTCGAAGATAGGTGCGTTGTACACGTGCTACCAGTGCGGGGGCCCGAAGGGCATGGATCACTTTGACCTGGGCCGGCTGAATATGCATGGGGGGCCCGAGTGCGTTGTGCGCAAGGAGTGCTTCGACCTGCGCATGCGTCCTCCTTGCGGGAAGTGCGGGGCGAGGCCAGAGAGGAATCTGCATTGCAGTCAGAGTAATTACCAGTGTGAGGCCTGTGCATTCCCGAACTGCGACGTCTGCAAGGTAGCCCCGCGGCCGCGAAGCACGAAGTACCTGGCGGCGAACGGGCCGTCGTGGACGTGCCCGGCGTGCCCGCGGGTCGGTCAGTGCGCGGTCTGTGGCGCCCCGTCACCAGACGCGGCCAAAACTGGTCGGCGTTCTGTGAACTGGGAAGGGCCGAGGTACACGTGCGACGCGTGCCTCTGGCCGCCATGCAGCGCGTGCAAGAAAACGCCGCGGCCGCACGACCGCTGGTGGACAGTTCGCGCTGCCCCGGACTGGAAGTGCGCAGATTGCGCGAAGACGCGCGAGCGAGGGAAGAGGTGCGCGTAGTCTAAAGATATCGCTCCACCTGCCACCTGCCGCTATCATCAGGGACGTCGTCGTCATCGTGTCTAATTGCGGGAAGAGGCCCGCCTGCGCCCCCGTCGCATGCGTCATCCTCTCGGTGGCAATTTTGGAGGCAGTTTGGGCCGCCATGCCTCCCTCTTGGGGACTTCTTGAGGCCCCTTGGGGGCCTATTTGGGGCATCTTGGGGCCTCTTGGGGGCGTCCTGGCCCGTCTTGGGGCGCTCTTCCGCCGTTTCGCCCCTTCGGAGACCGTCTTGGGGGCCTCCCACGGCCGCCTTGGGGCACTCTTGGGATCTTTTTTGGCCGTCCTAGGGGCCTCTTGGACCGTCTTGGGGGTTTCTTTGGGCCGTATTGGGGCCCTCTCGGGCCGTCTTGGGGCCTTTTGGAGGGCTTCTCGGGGCTTCTTGGAGGGTGCTTGGGCCGTCATTGGCTTGTCGGCGCCGAGAAAGGCGAGAACGCGCAAATATTCCCAAAACCGTAGGAAAATCTATGATTTTGGCTTCTGGAGGCGCTCTTGGGGGGTCCTCTTTGGACCCTCTTGCGGCGTCTTGTGAGCTTTTGGGCTCTCTTGGGGCCATTTCGGGTCGTCTTGAGGCCGTTTTGAGACTCTTCGGCCGCCTTGAAGCCATCTTGAGCCGTCTTGACGCCCCTTGTGGGCTCCGAGGAGGGCCCAGAGGCCGAAATCTATGATTTCCATAGGTTTTTGTAGGTTGTTGAATTAGTGCACGAAAGGGGTCGGCGACTCGGCGACGGCCCTGGGGGGGGGATTAAGGGGGGAGACATCGTAATGTAACACAATACAACATGTGGCAATTATGCAATCATTGGAAACATTGGATACGTTGCATTAGGGCTTCCGCTCCGCTGCGCGACCTGCCTCCGGCAACACGTCACTTCCGGACGTGGATTCCTTGGGTCACGCCGCACCGTCGACCCCATGGAAGTCGGTCTTGGATGCTTCGCTTCGGGGGTAAGCCCTCGCAGCGGCTGCTGGGCGGAAGGCGACGCGGACATGCTCGGCGTTTGCTGGGAGGCGTCTGAGGCCTCCTGCGGGAGGAGGAGGAGGAGGAGGAGGAGGAGGAGGACCAGGGACCAGGGACCAGGGACCAGGGACCAGGGACCAGGGACCAGGGTGAAGGGGACGCAGTCTCCCACGGAGGCTCCTGTGAGCGCCGAGAGGGATCCTCATTGGAGCCCCGCCCAGGAGACAACCCTATGCCAGCCTCTGGAGGTCCCCTGCGGAGCCACTCCCAGGATGAAGGCTGACCCCAGCTTGGATTACGTTAAGGGCGTGCTTGACAGCCTTTGGCGGCCCACTGCGACTAGGGTATAAGCTTTTGCGGATGCGCGCAAGGTTCTCGTGACCTTTGCGCGTGGGTTTCCCTTCGCAGGGCACGGCCAGTTGAACGAATGTGGAAGTGGCCGTGCGCCCGCATGTGTTGAACAATTACATGCTGTGCTCAGGCCATTGGTACAGAACGTGTGTGTTATGTACTACTTGGGCGCCGAGGACAGTATATGAACTTCTCCGGGTCATGCGACTGCTTGCGTCCATTCCACCAGCAACCTCTGGGGCTGGGGCTGGGACGCACGCGGCAGCGGCCGCCCCCTCCACGCGGACCTCAGGGACCGGGTGACGGCAGGAGGGGCGCATCCGACCCCCCCCCCCCCCCTGGACACGGGTCCAGGAGTGCTGGCTGGCTTCAAAGACACGCGTGAGTCCTGGCTTGGAGGCGGCACGTGCCCTCGGCGGCCTGTGGGCCTCCCTCGCGTCTGCAGTTAGGTCCTCAGGGGCAGACGTGTATCCATATCCACCACTCGCTCGAGGTCCACGGGCACAACACGAAACGGTGGATATGGACAGGTCTTTGCAGTGAAGAGACCGTCAGGCGCTCCGCTGGCCGCGGGGGCGGACGCGCACTTCCTGCAGCTGCTCGCCGCGCAGCAGCAGCGGCTGCAGGCGCCGCCCGCGGTGGTGGCGCCGCCGCAGCGGCAGGGCCAGGCGGGCACGCAGCCCGGGAGCGGGCCGACGGGGCGTGCAGATCTCTGGTTGACCCAAAGAGGGGGTCTAGCGACAAGGGGGCGGTGCACTAGATCTGGTGCAGCAAGTATGCGGGTTGCACTCGATCTGGGGCCTGTAATACATTCCGGTGCGCAGATGTAATGCTCGGCTTTCGCGTGCAATGCGTCAGTTGCAATACAGTGCAACACAAGTCTCTGGCGAAGTGCACTTGCAATACAATTGCCTCAAGTCTGTTGCACCCCCCCTTTGAGCTGGGCCCCCTTCTGGGTCAACCACAGGATGCCCTTACATTTTCCTCGGAATCGAGGTTCAAGGTTTTTGCACGTTTTCCGTCGGCCCTCGGCGGGGTTCCAGTCTCAACGGGGTGCGTTCTTGTGGCTGCGCCTCGACCAGAGGTGCCCGGATCGTTCTGGACGATGGCCATACACCCGAGCTGTGGACCTCTTCGCGCTGGGACAAAGTTACGACGTGGGGGTTTTGGCAACGTTGGCCCTCGGGGGACTCTCGCCGGGCCCTAGGACCGTCCAAGAAACGACTCGGGACGTAAAACCGGTCCCCGGGAAACGGTCAAGGCCGAGGGGATCGACGTGGTGAAGACAGCACGATGTCGGAGATCGGGTTCGCTCCTCGGCTGGCGCATTGATCGTCTCTGGCGGACGGGCGGGAGGGGACTGTCCATGCGGCTGGAGCCCGGTCAAAGTTGCAGGGAGGCGACGTGAGTGCCCCCGTCCCCAACGCGGCGTTCCCGAGTTGCCGACGACGAAGAAATAGTCTTGGCAGGTAGGGTTCGGCGAGAGTTCCCAAACGGTAGTGTTGACACCAGTCACTGGGAGACGACACTCGCAGGCGATTCGCTTTCGGCTCTAGGATCTGCGCAGCCTATTTTCTCTTTTTTTGTTCCCCAAACAGTGCTTGCACTGAGGGGTTCTTACTTGTCTTAACCATCTGGGGACCAGTGCCAGTTTTTCGTCGCCGTGCCGCGCGTCGCCGTCCTTCGTCGCCCGTCGCCGTCCGTCGCCGCCTTGCTTTGCAATGCTTTGCTTTACTTTACATGGCTTGGCATTGTGTTGCTGTACCTTGCGCTACTCTACTTCTCTTTGCTTGACTTTACTTTACCTGGCTTCGCTTTACTATAGTTTTTTCGCTGTCTCTTTTATATACCTCATACCTCTAGCTATGTTTTATGTGTTAGCTATTACAATATACCTCATGCTGCTTTCTGTACCTTCCTTTAGTATATTGTTTGTCATACTATGTGTTGTTACTTTGCTTTGCTGTGTTGTGGGTTGTGCTTTACTCCGCCTTATTGTAGTTTAGTTTGTCTTATCTTACCCCACAGCTTACGTTTTGTTTTTTGAGCACCTGATCTTGATTCACCTTGCTCTACTCTACCTCGCTTCAAAAGACCTAATGTTGCTTTATTTTATTTGTTTCCAACCATCCTGTGGTGTTGGGTCCTCGTTTTGAAGAGACGGTCCCCGCGTTCTCCTCCTCCTCCTTCCTTCCTCCTCCCCCTCCTCCCTCCTCCCTGCCCGCGTTGCACCCACCCAGTACAGCGTTTCGTAGCCCCATAGGGAGCTCCACCGAAGGCCCCAGTGCCACCGCCCGCATGGCGCCGCCGCCCGATTGTGGCACACCACCTCACACGTTTCGTGGCCGCATAGGGACCTCCACCGAAGGCCCCAGTGCCACCGCCCGCATGGCGCCGCCGCCCCATTTCGGCACACCGCTCACACGCATCGTGGCCCCATAGGGAGCTCCACCGAAGGCCCCAGTGCCACCGCCCGCATGGCGCCGCCGCCCCATGTTGGCACACCCCTCACACGTTTCGTGGCCCCACAGGGAGCTCCACCCAAGGTCGCAGTGGCGCAGCCCGCATGGCGCCGCCGCCCCATGTCGGCACACCCCTCACACGTTTCGTGGTCCCATAGGGAGCTCCACCTAAGGTCGCAGTGGCGCCGCCCGCATGGCGCCGCCGCCCCATTTCGGCACACCCCTTGCACGTTTCGTGGCCGCATAGGGAGTTCCATCTAAGGTCCCAGTGGCGCAGCCCGCATGGCGGCGCATCCCAGGCGGGAGCCAGCCTGCTCGCTCGCTCTGTTCCGCGCGGCACCGCGCCCGCGGCCTTGGACGTGGGCGTGCACGGGCAAAGCGGGAGAAGAAAATCGGGAAGGAAGCTGGCGCGATCCTCGTGAGAGGCGCGCCGGCATGGGTGTCGACATGTATGCACGTAGATTCACGCGCGTGCAGACTCGTCCACAATCAGACTCACGCGCCCTCAGTCTCTCGCACACAAACCTATCGTCTTCGCTCGCGTTGTGTGCCCCGCCACGCATGTAGGCACGCCCCTCACACGGTTCGTGGCCCCATAGGGGGCGCGGGCGAAGATGATATTTATATTTGCGATTTTCACAGCTGCATACGGTTGGGCCCTTCGCCAGGGTATGTGTTATCGTCGCGTTCCCTTTACGCTACTTCACAAACGTTTACCTAACTTTGTTATCCCCGGCTTTACGTAACTTGGTTTTTTTTTGCTTTACCCTACCTATCCCTATCTTACCATTCTGGATTATACTTCATTTTTCTGCCCCCAGCAGTGCTTGTACTTAAGGGTTCTTACTTGGCTGAAAGATCTTGGGGCCAAGGGCGGCTTTTGCTGGCGGTGCCGCCCGTCGCTGGCCGTCGCCGCTTTTCGTCTCGGGACTAAGGGCGGCCGTCGCCGTCCGTGCCGCCCGTCGAAGACCGTCGCCGCCGCCGTCGCCGCACCGTCGCTGCCGTCATCGCCGTCGTCGCGGACGCGCACAACATAGCCTGCACCGCACGGGTCGCGGTAGGAGTAATAACACTAGTAGTCGTACTAGTCGTACATGCTTTAATTTTTAGTCGGAATGGTAGTAGTAGGAACAGTAGGAGGAGTAATAGTATTAGTATCATCATTATTATTATTATTAGTAGTAGTAGTAGTAGTAGTAGTAGAGGTAGTAGAGGTAGTAGTAGTAGTAGCAGTAGCAGTAGCAGTCGTAGTAGTAGTAGTAGTAGTAGTAGTAGTAGTAGTAGTAGTAGTAGCCGTGGTGGTGGTGGTACTACTACTACTACTACTACTACTACTACTACTACTACTACTACTAGTAGTAGTAGTAGTAGTAGTATTAGTAGTACTAGTGGTAGTAGTAGTAGTAGTAGTCGTCGTCGTCGTCGTCGTCGTCGTCGTCGTCGTCGTCGTCGTCGTAGTAGTAGTAGTAGTAGTAGTACCCGTAGTAGTAGTAGTAGTAGTAGTAGTAGTAGTCGTAGCAGTAGCAGTAGTAGTAGTCGTAGCAGTAGTAGTAGTAGTAGTAGTAGTAGTCGTCGTCGTCGTCGTCGTCGTCGTAGTAATAGTGGTAGTAGTAGTAGTAGTAGTAGTCGCAGTAGTAGTAGTAGTAGTAGTAGTAGTAGTAGTAGTAGTAGAAGTAGTAGTCGTAGTCGTCGTAGTAGTAATAGTAGCAGCAGTCTTGGGGCGCTCTTGAGACGCCCTCGAGGGCTCCAAGACGACCCCGGAGCGATATCTGTGCTCGGTCCCGCATGGGTTTTGCAAAACAAGTTGCGGGTGGGTGGGTCGGATGACTGCGCGAGCAGTGGAGTTGTCAACTTCAAGTTCGGCAAGTGGTTGATTGCACTTCATAGGATGCATAGCAGACGTTGCCCTGTATAGAGTGTACCGCATAGACTGCAAAAACCTATTTTTTGGGGGTCCACGCTGGCTAACATGATTGCGCATGTGTATGTTTCCGAAATGCTTGGCGCTTCGCGTATCCCCACCAGTAATTTGCTAGGCCCGTGGCCCGGACCTTTCAACTCGGCGTCTGCGCTTCCGCTTGCGCCCGCGTCGAAAAAAAAGTACCCCCACCGGCCCATCCAGGAACGATGCCCATGAGAGCTGACGGGGGGAGAAAGGAAGAACCATCTTGAGCCGTCTTGAAGCGGTCTGGGGGCCTCTTGGGGCATCTTGGGACCATCTTGAGCCAACTTGGACCATCGTGAGCCATCTTAGAAGTCATCGTGGGCTCTCTGAGGCCGCTTGGGGGCCATTCGGGGGGCTCTTGGAGGTCTTCCGGGGGCCTCTTGGAGCCCTCTTGGGCCTTCTTGGGGCGCTACTGGAACCCTTTTGGGGGCCTCTGGGGAGCCCTGGAGGTCCTCTTGGGGCCGTCTTGGAGGCGGTCAGTCAACAGGGGGGGGGGACTCGTTTTAGGTCACCCCCTCCGGGGCCACGATCCTCGTGAGGGGTGGCAGAACATGGCCTCCCAATGGCCGAAGAAGGAGCCCCCGACACCTCGCGATCCCCCCAACAAAAACCTTAGGGAGGGGAAGGGGGGGGCTCCCTTCCCCGAAGGGAAGAGGGTTCGTAGAATAGGAAAGAGACCCTCCTTAGACCACTTGTCGCCCAAACGGCTGGTGGGATTTCCGCGGCAGGGTCCGGAACAACATGATAGCAGATGATTATTGACGCTCTCCGTATCCCCACCAACCCATCCAGAAACGATGCTCATGAGAGTTGAAAAGGGGGAGAGAGGAAGAGACACGCATAGTCAAACAGCGAGGGAGGCTTGGGAGGCTCCGTGGCCATCTCGGGCCGTCTTGGAGCCGTCTTGGGGCCGCTTTGGGCGTCCTGGGAGACATCTTGAGCCAGCTTGGGCCATCTGCCCCCGCCAGCACCCCCCCGACGGAGGCGGAGAGCGGGCTCCTCGCCTCCAGCGTGGAGGGGCAGTTCTTCTCCTTCGACGCGCCGCCGGCCCAGCGGCCCCGCGCGCGGCCGCCAGCGCCTCCTGCTGCGCTCACGGCGTTGGGCCGAGGTGCGGGTCGTCTTGCCCGCGCGACCGTGCACGAGGCTCATCTGTCGCAGAGCCCGTCGGGAGATCGATCGACGCTGCCCTTGAGGCCAAAGCAGACGCGCTGCACAACCACAGACTTCGGGGGGTCCGCGCGGTCTTTTTGGATCTCGAGGAAATGAAGACGCCATAAACAGAGACTTGTGGCGCTGCTCGGGGACTTCTTGGATCCGCGCTGGCCGCGCCTCCGACGCCGCCCCCGGCGCGGTCCGCGCGCCATGGAGGAGGGCCCAGCGCAGACCCAAGAAATCTCCGCGCGGAGCGCCAAAAGTTCATGTTCATGATAGAAGTCAGCGGGAACACATTTATTCACATATACATATACACATATATCAATATATCCGTATACCGAAATATACGTATTTCACGTGGGTTATATATATGTATGTTTGATGGATTGCTTTTCATATAGTTTGGAGAAGAACCGACCCAACCATATGCAGTTGTGAGCACCGTCGTTGTATGCACCATATTCGGTGGAACTCCCTATGGGGTTACAAAACGTGTGATGGGTGTGCCAAAAAAGGTGTGGTGGGTGCATGCGAACGCTGGCATGTGGGCCTTCGGTGGGGCTCCCTGTGGGGCCACGGAACGTGCGAGGGGTGTGCCAACATGGGTGCGATGGCCGCATACGAGGGCTGTCACTTGGGCCTTCGGTGGAGCTCCTAAGGGGCCACGGCACGTGTGATGGGTGTGCTAAAATGGGTGCGGTGGCCCAAATGCGAATGCTGGCATTTGGGCCTTCGGCGGGGCTTCCTGTGGGGCCATGAAATGTTTGAAGGTGTGTGCCAATGTGGGTGCGGTGGCCGCGTGCGAACGCTGGCATTTTGGGCCTTCGGTGGGGCTCCCTGTGGGGCCACGAAACGTGTGATGGGTGTGCTAAAATGGGTGCGGTGGCCGCATGCGAACGCTGGCGTTTGGGCCTTCGGTTGGGTTCCCCTATTGAGGCACGAAGCGTGTGAGGGGTGAGCCAAAACGAGTACGGTGATCGCATGCGAACGCTGGCAGTTGGGTCGTCGGTGGGGCTCCCTGTAGGGCCACGAAACGTGTGATGAAGACAATGATGATGATGATGATGATGATGATGATGATGATGATGATGATGATGATGATGAGGATGAGGATGAGGATGAGGATGAGGATGAGGATGAGGATGAGGATGATGATGATGATGATGATGATGATGATGCTGCTGCTGATGCTGCTGATGATGCTGATGATGCTGATGATGCAGATGATGATGATGATGCTGATGATGATGCTGATGCTGATGATGATGCAAGGAGGAGGGAGGGGGCAGCGGGTGGATGAGGAGTGAACGCGGGGACCGTTTCTTCAAAACGAGGACCCAGCACCACAAGGGGAAACTAATTTGTGTTCATGCCGTTTCTGTTCTTCTGCGCATCGGCGCCCGACCCCCCCCTTCCCTGGCGCGCCGAGCGCGCCTGTGGCGCGCTGCCATGGGGGCTGCAGTGCCGACGATCGCGGATCTGCCAAGGTGAGCGTTTTCTTAATCGGCGTTTCGACATTGGGCTGAAGGTGGAGGGGGGCTGTCTCAGAGAAAGGGAGGTGTCCATGCCGCTACCCTTCCCTCGTTTGCCCCTTTTCGGGCGGTGTGGGAGGCCCTCGTCGCCGCCGCTGGATTTGCCCCGAAATTCTGGTCAGAACGCACCCCGGGAGAGGTCAGGGAGTGGCGGTATCCGTACCTTTTCCAAGGTGCAAGTTTTCTTTTTCGGCGTTTCGACATTGGGCGGAAGGGGCAGGGGTGAAGGAGGGGTGTCTGGCTCCGGACCTCTGCTTAATGCGACTGTTTGCAACGGTGCGTCCTGTGGAGGAGACTCCACCTGCCTGAAGTAGGCGCCAACAACAGCCAAGATCTACTCCACGGGGGGGGGAGGGGGGAGCGAGGGCCCGCGCCGATCGGCAAAACAATGCACAAGAAAACGATTGCAAGGCCGCTGGAGACTCTGAACGAGAGCCTCAAGGAGAAGGTCGAGCCCGCGAAGCTGGGGCAGGTCTCGAAGAAGAAAAAACGCCATAAACATTAACTTTTGGCGCTCCGCGCCAATTTCTTGGATCTGCGGTGGGGCCCCCATAGCGGCGCCTCCGGCGCCGCCCCTGGCGCGCTCCGCGCGCCAGGGAGGGTGGTCTAGCAGATCCAAGAAATTTGCGCGGAGCGCCAAAAGTTTTTGTTTATGGCATTTCTTTGTCTTCTAAGGTCACGGTGCTCAAGAAGGAGGCTCCGCCTCCCGAGGCCGTCGCGCCCGCCCAGACCGAGGAGGTGTCCGTGCAGGCTCCCGGCTTCTTGCCTCGATGTTGCATTCGCTCCCGTCACTCAGAGGGGGCAAAGGTACCCATGTCTGTACCTTTCCCCTGTTTTCCCTTTCTTGGGCCTCCTGGGCAGCCCTCGTCGCCACCGCTGGATTCGCCCCGAAATCCTGGTCAGAACGCACCCCAGGAGAGGTCCGCGGAGTAGTGGCATAGGTACCTGTTGGTTTCCCCAGTCACCCGACCCGATTTCAGGCGTGGTGTTTCGGGCGTGGCGTCATGGGGTGGGGCGAAGAATGGGTAGGTGAAGAAAGAGGGCACGCCTTTTGCGCCCTGGAGGGGCCTAAGGGGCCCCCTGTGGCCCAAGAGGGATACGAAAGGTGCACGTTCCCCCCCCCCCCCTCCCGGCCCCGCATTTATCACCCCCCATCAAGCAACGCCCAAGTGCTTCTTTGCCAGCTCCCCCTACGGTCAGGCTACGGTCAGGAGCTTTGGCTTTAGAGCCAGAGGGGGGATCTGAGGTAGTCCAGCATATGTTCCAGCCAGCATGAATGGGGGGCAGGTTCGAGATGCTGGGTTCGATGTGGCGCTCCGCCGGGCGGCGCGATACACCATCCACGTCCCCATTCCCAAGCGCCAACGTCCCGCGCTTGTTCCAGCCTCCCGCCCCGTGGAGCGGAGCTTTACGCTATCCGCTTGCCAGGCATAGCGTGTCGCCTTGGCCCCCGCCGCGACACGCTAAGCCAAAGATCCCGACCATAATATATTGACATCAAGGTCGAATCTACGCTTCAGTGCAACTGCTTGTATCTGAATCCCCTTGTGGGTCTCCTCTGGCCTTCAAAAGGCCTTTCTGGGGGGGGGGTCTTGTCTGGCCATTCTGGGGTCTCCTCTGGCTCTTCACGACCTCATCGTCCTCCTTGATTGGGGGGTGAGCAGGGAGGAAAGAGCGCGCGTTCTGTGGACGCGGGGAAGGAGGGGTGAGGGTTCGAACTGCCCCCCCCTGAAATGCAAGGGTGGGAGGGGGGATGAACCGGGCCTCCCCCCGCTCCCCTCAAGAGGGGGAGGGCGGGGGGTTCGAACGGGGGGGCCCCCCTCGCCTGAGTTGAAGGGGGGAGGGATTCGAATCGGGGGGGCTGGGCCTCCCTCCCCAGTGGGAACCGACGACGGCGAGTGCCAGCGCCAGCGCGGGCGCGGTCGGGCAACGACGACGACGACGACAACGACGACGACGACGACGATCGAGCCTTAGTAGGATGCCATTTTGGGCGGGATCGAGCCCAGGTATGATGCTATTTGAGCTGGATCGAGCCCTAGTCGGTATCAATACGAGCTGGAACTAGTCATAGTAGAATTCTGTTTGAGATGGATATATCTTCAGTCGGATCCATGTAGAGTTCGATCCAGCCACAGTCGGGTTCTGTTAGAGTTGGATCGAACCCGACTTGGATGCTGTGATAGTTAGAACCAGCTAAAGCAGTTGGTCATTCTAGGCTAAGCAGTGGCAAGCAATGCCTATATATGCCGAGTACTGTCATACAGCCCCAAGCAATGGCACGCAACGCCAAGCAATGCCAACCAAGGCCAAGCAACGCCACGCAATGTTAAGCAACGCCACGCAACCTACAGCATACCAACACCAAATCAACGAAAACACATCGAACCCGTGCAACGCAATGCGAACGAATGCCAAACAACGCAAAACAAGGCACCGCAACGGAAAACAATGCTTCATTTTCTGAGTTGCTTATTCCGGGAACGTTCCCCAAACGTTCCCCAAATTGGGGTCGCGCTGGGTGCATTGTTTCTACTTCTGCCATGCCGTCACCACCCTGAAACGATGAGGGCGTGGCCTTGAAGTTTTGGCCTCCAGCGCAGTGGGTTCTGCTATTTCGAGCTGGCGCCTTCGTGGCGCTGTCCGTGGCTATCGCCATGGGGAGGGTAACGCAACTAAATTCACCTTCTCCTCCGCCTCGCACTACGTCCACTGCGGCCCTCTCTGGGGACTCGTCTCGGCGGCGTGGGCTGACCCACTTCTGGCCGCTCCAATCCCCCATTGCCTGGGACTGGTGCCTGCGAGGCTGGGCGGCGATACTGTCTCACTCGGGGTAATGCTGCTCCATGCCTGTCACTACGGCCGTGGCTTGTCCGCCCGTGGCCGCACTGGTGGCGACCTCGGCACCAGACGGCACAGCAACGCGCTCTGCCCGAACACAGCTCGAGATGGCGACGCCCCAAACCCGATTCGTCAGATTCAAACGCAGAGCCCAACAGCAGTCCAGGTCGCTCCCAGGGACACGAAGGTGACCGCGCGTCGGGCGGCGCGGCCTGGGCCCGAGAGCTGGCCCTCTCCAGGCTGGGCGGCGGCGCGAGCGCGACAGGGGGGGGGCGAAGATAGGCACGCGTTGCGCATCGCGGCCCCCGTGGACGGCGGAGGAGAGAGGGAGAGCCGGATGGGGCTAGGACGAGGGTGAATCCGTTCCAGAGCGTTCGGGAGCGCGCTCGGAACGTTCTGGAATGCTCTGGGAAGGCCGCGGCGCCTGAGACATCCTCCAGAGCCGCCAGGTCTCTGAGATTCTCGATTCATCTTCGCCCGATGGTACCTTCGTCTTGGTTTCTCTTCAAAGAAGAGACGGGAGGGGGTGGGCGGGATGGCGGGAAGGGGGGGGGGAGGCGGGCGGACGGGCGGGCGGGAAGGCAGGCGAGGAGGCCAGAGAGGAGGAGGAGGAGGAGGAGGAGGAGGGACGAGGAAGAGGAGGAGGAGAGGAGGAGGAGAGGAGGAGGAGGAGGAGGAGGAGGAGGGGGAGAAGGGGGAGGAGGAGGAGGAGGAGGGGGGAGGGGGATAGAGGACGGGGAGGAGGAGGATGGTGATGATGATGATGATGATGAGGAGGAGGAGGAAGAGGAGGAGGAGGAGGAGGAGAGGAGGAGGCGGACGAGGCGGACGAGGAGGACGAGGAGGAGGAGGAGGAGGAAGAGGAGGAGGAGGAGGAGGAGGAGGAGGAGGCCAGGAGGAGGAGAGCAGGAGGAGGAGGAGGAGGCCAGGAGGAGGAGGAGGAGGTGGAGGAGGTGGAGGAGGTGGAGGAGGAGGAAGAGCGCGTCCTCCGCCGAGGCGCCGGGCGCCGCGCAGCCGCAGGCCTGCGCGGGCCCAGCGCCCACGGCCGCGCAGCCCCAGACCAGCTGGGTGACGGTCCAGCGCTCGCGCTCGCGCTCTCGGAGGAGGCGGCCGACGCCCGCGCCGCCCGCCCTCAGCGCCTCCCCTGAGGGGGGCAGCAGCTGCATGAGCACAGGCCTCTGCAGCTCCGCGCGGGCTTCTCGGAACGGTGCTGGCCCTCCGTGGCGGCGCCTCCAGCGCCGCCCCTGGCGCTCTCCGCTTTCCATGGATGGGGGCCTGCGCACCCTCTCCGAGAGACCCGCTCGGGGCTCTTCAAGTCGTATGTTTATGTTGTGTTCCACCTTCTACTCCGTGGGTATGGGGCTGTGTGCTTGGTAAGTGCCGGTTCGATCCGGTTGGGGGGGCTTGTGTATGGCGTTTTGGTGGCGTGTTGTTTGTTGGTATGGTGATTTGGGTTGGGGGCTATTTGTGTTTGGTGGTTTGGTGGTGCGTGTTCCTTGGTTAAGTGTTCGGCGTTGCGTGGTTTTGCTATTTTTGGTTGGCTATTTGCTGGTCAGGTGATTGTTGTTTTGGTGTGTGTGTGTGTTGGGTGGTTGGTTGATTGGTGTTCGGTGGTTTGGTGGCTTGGTTGATTGATGCTTCGGTGGTTGTTCGTTTGATCGCTTGGTGTCTGGTGTCTCGTGGTGCTGTCTATACTTTCAGCTTGGATTGGTTCCACTGCGGCCCCGATTGGTACCAGCTGGCCGGGATTGGGTCGGATAAGCCAGGACTGGTGGCACCAATATCGGCACGCAGGGGGGACACAAGGCGGTGGGGCACAGGGGGGTTATATGCCGAGGCAGGGGCGCGCGTGGGTCATGTGCGGCCACACTTGCTGGAGGCTTTCCCCTGGCCATTTCATAGCTGCTGTAGTGCTCTCTTGTTTCGTTGCGCTAGAAATGCGACCTCGGTGGCGAGGCTCGGAAGTCCTCCGGCCTTCTGAGAAGTTTTTCCCAACCATCTTGTGGTGTTGGGTCCTCGTTTTGAAGAGACGGTGCCCCGCGTTCCTTCCTTCCCGCCATCCTCCCCCTCCTCCCTCCTCCTGCCCCTCCTCCCTCCTCACCCTCCTTCATTCTCCCTGCGTTTCGCCCACCCAGTACAGCGCTTCGTGGCCCCATAAGCAGGGAGCTCCACGGAAGGACCCAGTGGCAGGGTTCGCATGGCGGCCCCGCGTTTTGGCGCACCCCTCACACGGGTCGGAGATCCATAGGGAGCTCCACCGAAGGCCCCAGTGGCAGAGTTTGCATGGCGGCCCCGCCCCATTTTGGCGCACCCATCACATGGTTCGTGGCCCCATAGGCAGGGAGCTCCACCGAAGGACCCAGTGGCAGGGTTCGCATGGCGGCCCTGCGTTTTGGCGCACCCCTCACACGGGTCGGAGCTCCATAAGGAGCTCCACCGAAGGCCCCAGTGGCAGAGTTTGCATGACGGCCCCGCCCCATTTTGGCGCACCCATCACATGGTTCGTGGCCCCATATGGAGTTCCACCGAAGGACCCAGTGGCAGGGTTCGCATGGCGGCCCCGCGCCATTTTGGCGCACCCCTCACACGGCTCGTGGCCCCATATGGAGTTCCACCGAAGGCCCCAGTGGCAGGGTTCGCATGGCGGCCCCGCTTCATTTTGGCGCACCCCTCACACGGTTCGTGGCCCCATAGGGAGCTCCACCGAAGGTCCCAGTGGCAGGGTTCGCATGGCGGCCCCGCGCCATTTTGGCGCACCCCTCACACGGTGCGTGGCCACATAGGGAGCTCCACTGAGGGCCCCAGTGGCAGGGTTCGCATGGCGGCCCCGCGCCATCTTGGCGCACCCCTCACATGGTTCGTGGCCCCATAGAGGACTCCACCGAAGGCCCCAGTGGCAGGGTTCGCATGGCGGCCCCGCGCCATCTTGGCACACCCCTCACACGGTTCGTGGCCCCATTGGGAATTCCCCTTGTTTTGTCCCACTTGCCTCGCGGTTCTTACACTTGCGTATGGTTGGGTCCTTCGCCAGGATAATTTAAGCCTTCCCCAAACACACTGAGAAGGCCTTCTCCTTCTCACTTCCCTCCTCGCTCGCCGCCGATCTAGGACGCAAAGTCAAGATTGCTCTATCACTAGGTTCGCAGCAGCATTATTTCACTGGCATCGGGCGATGCCGCTGATGTTGCTGTTGTTTGTGTGGCTGCCAGTAGTACTGCTGGTACATACGGTCGGGCAGCTTTACTTTGCTTGCCGCGATGTCGGTTCTGGTCCGCGACGCTGCGGCGCGACACGCTAACCACGTTCCTGGCCACCGAACGTCAACGTTTTGAGCTTTGCGAAGCCTCCCGCTCAGCGAAGCGGAGCGCCGCGCCATCCGCTTGCAGGACATGGCGTGTCGCCAGGGCTGCTGGCGCGACGCGCTAACCAGAAGCCCCTGACAGTACATCGGAGGTTGGGGGGTGAGATCGCAATGAAACGGAGACCCCCACCGTGAAATCGGTTTCGGTTTCGTGGTTGTCTCGTCCGTGCGGGCGAGGCGAAGCTGCGTGGGCGGGCGAGATGAATGAACCCTCCTCTGACTAGGGTGCCGCCGGGCCAAAAGACTGCCCCTCACCCCCCGTTCGCCGGCGGTGGCTGGGGGTGTCCCGCCGTGGTGTCTCGCAGTGTCTGTGTTCTGATGGTGTTCCGTCGGTGTCCCGTCGCTGTCCCGTCGGGGTCCCGCCGGAGCTCCGTAGTGAGATCGATAGTGAGATCGACCGTGAGACCGATAGTGAGATCGACCGTGATTCCGATAGTGAGATCGGTAGTGGTATCGATAGGCACATCGTTCATGAGATCGATCGTCTGATCGATGTTTGGATTGATAGTGATGTCGATCGTCAGATTCATCGTGAGACCGATTACGCGATCGTTAGTGAGATCGACTGAGGTTCATAATGGCATCGTTAGTGAGATCGGTAGTGAGGTTGACCGTGAGATTGATTTTGCGATCGATAGTTGGCTCGATAGTGAGATCGATGGTGGGATCGATTGAGTGAGACGTTGGTTCCTCCTCCCCGACCCTCCTCATTACCCACAGGGTGGTCGTATAGGTATGCTATGGATGCTACTCTCACGTCTGCTGCATTTTGTTGGTTTGGTCAATGCTTCATGATGTAGCCTGTCCCGCTCGCCAGCGGGGCCCGCAGGCGCCGCCGCGACGACTCCAGCGAGTCGGACAGCAGCTCGATTGAGCGGCGCCGCCGGGCGAAGGCTGGCAGGGCCCAGGACGCTTGCCGTGGCATGTGGGGCAGGTCACACGTGCCGGGGTAGTTTCGTTGTACTTCGAGGGACCTCGCCTGTCCCCCAGATTGGTGTCTTTCCTTGTGCCCGGCGCGGGCTCGACGCGAAATCGACGCGGATTTGGCGTGGATGCGACGCGGATTTGGCGCGGATTCGACACGGATCCGACGAGTCCGACATGGGTTCGACACGGATTCGACGCGGATAGGGCCGCGACGGGACAGGCAAGGTCCTCCGAGGATGCAACAGCAGGGTCGGGGATGTGGCGACGAGAAATCGGCGCATGCACCGATCCTTGCGAGGCCCGTCTCTGGCCGAGGATTCGGTGAAGATGCCGCCCTGGTCGAGCCAGGAGGGCGTGTGTACCGATCGTGTGCCCAGGGCGGTCGAGGCGAGAGTCGGTGCATCTGCATACCCCTTTGTGTTTGTCCCAACCATCCTGTGGTGTTGGGTCCTCGTTTTGAAGAGACAGCGCCCCTCCTCCCTCCTCTCCTCTCCTCTCCTCCTCCCCTCCTGCCTCCTCCTCGTCATCGTCACGCAACCATCCTGTGGTGTTGGGTCCTCGTTTTGAAGAGAAGGTGCCTCGCGTTCCTCCTTCCTCCTCCTCCCCCTCCTCCTTCCGCTATCATCGGCATCATCATCATCATCATCATCATCATCATCATCATCATCATCAGCATCATCAGCATCATCATCATCATCATCATCATCATCATCACAACCACCACCACCAGCATCATCATCATCATCCTCTTCCCAACCATCCTGTGGTGTTGGGTCCTCGTTTTGAAGAGACGGTGCCCCGCGTCACACCCAGTACAGCGTTTCGTGGCCCCACAGGGAGCTCCACCGAAAGGCCCAGTGAGGGTGCCCGCATGCGTCCCGCACACCCAGTACAGCGTTCCGTGGCCCCACAGCGAGCTCCACCGAAGGCCCCAGTGAGGGTGCCCGCATGCGTCCCGCACACCCAGTACAGCGTTTCGTGGCCCCACAGTGAGGGCCGCACAGTGCGGCGGCCGCCGACCCTGACGCTCCTGACGACGACGATACCCAGGAGGAGGAGGATGAGGAGGACGGGAAGGTGGAGGATGACGGGTAGGGGAGGACGGATATCAGAGTGGAGCAGAAGAGCACGGGGAGACATCTTGGCCAGGAGGGTGAGACCTCAGACTTCCGATGTGTTTCGCGTCGCGAAGCCCCCGGACCTCTCGACTCCATCCTGGTGGCCAGTCCCTGGTAGTATTGTCTAGGGCCTCAGCTTCCGATTTTTGGTCGCGTCGCGAAGCCCCCGGACCTCTCGACCCCATCCTGGTGGTCAGTCCCGGGTAGTTTTGTTTAGGGCCCCAGTGCCCAGAAGCGGCCTCTAGAGGCCGCGTTGTGTTCATGGCATCGGGGCTCAAACATCGAGGCCTCGATCGAGGAGAGTGCGAATTGCAGACCGCCGAGCAGGCGAGACAGCATGGCGAGGATACGGGGGGAAGGGGAGAGGAGGGGGGAAGGGAGGAGCCAGCAGCGGAGGGAGACGAGGGAGGAAAGGGAGGGACATGCAGAGGGTAAGGAGGGAGGGAAAGGGAGGGAAAGGGAGGGAAAGGGAAGGAGGGGGTTGAGGGAGGGGGAGGAAGGAAGAGGACGGAAGAAGAGGGAAGAGGAGGAGAAGGAGGAGGAGGGAAAGGGGGAGGCCGAGAAGAGAGGGGGAGGAGAGGAGGAGGAGGAAACGGAGGAGGAAGAGGAGGAGGAGGATGAGGGAGAGGGGGGAGGAGGGAGGAGAGAGCAGGGGGGATGAGGCAGGAGGAGGAGGCTCGCGAGCTGCCAGCTCGGCTGGAGTCGTGCGGCAGCGACCGCCTCTCGCTCCGGGCTGGAGCCCTCGTCTGCGAGCTTGGGGCCCGCCTCTCGCTCCGGGCCGGAGTCCTCTTGTGCGAGCTTGGGGCCGTCTTGGGGCCTCGAGGATCGAGGTTCGAGGCTTTTTGCCATTCGGGGGGCCCCCTCGCCACCACGGCTGGACGCGGTCCAGAAAACTGGCCAGTTTGGACCCGGGAGGGGTCCGAGGATCGATTTCGAGCGGGTGCTGGCCCAGGGTGGCGTGAAGGGGGTGGCCTTCCAAGAAGCCAAGGCGGGTTATTGCAGGGGCTAGCAACGCAGCGAGCAAGGCTTTCCGTAATTAGCCACTTGTGCGCAGGACGGTTTCACCATCAACTGGCGTTGTTAGTGTTTCTCTGTCAGCCGACCGCGCTTCGGGATGAAACGGAGCTGATGGGAACATGTCCACTGGTTTGATGAAGAGGCACCACCTGATCGTGACCCAACAAACTATCATAAGGTGAAAATTTGCCAAGGTTGTGGAGGTATTGTGCGCGTTGGTAAGATTGCAACGCATGGCATTTCACGTAGCGACAAGAAGCTAAAGGCTTCCGACGAAGAATTTCAGCACTTGCTAAGCAAGTGTGTTCGAGCGCCGACATATCTTTATGCGACGCCGTTCTTCTCATCAAGTCGTGTTTGTGCGGATTGGACCAAATATTATGGCAGTGTAGAAAAGCTACGTGCCATGACGTTCACCGACGCCGGTCGGCTCAAGTTGTGTTCAGATATCCTCAATGTGCGTAGAACCGTTGGCTTGTCGATTCGCATGTCAAACACCCGCGACACCGACATTTTCACAATGGCACAGCGCAGTGCTTTGGAGGCTCACGACGCCGTCACAGCACAAACATCATTTCTGGAAGATTTTCGCGTTCTTTATCTGAACGTGTATTTGTCGAGGACTGCCCTTAGAAACGCCCTGGCCACGAATGCCTTCCCATTCTTCCAGAACGATCTGTTCTCTTTAGGCATAGATGCGCTGCTGGACAAGATTGCTGACGTTGTACTGGATCTCCTCAAAGCCACGTCCTTTGCCCCGCATGGGCGGGCCCTGATGCCTTATGCAAACTTGGTGGAGAACCGCGCTCTGTATCTCAAAGTTGGCCATGACCTGTGCGCGCGAGAGGATGCACTGGTGTTTGCAGCTACTCTTGCCGACGTTCATGGTACGATCTGACGTCGCCAGCGAAACTGGAAACCATCATTGCTGGAGCGCCACACTTTGGTACTTTCAGATCGAAAGCAATTTGGAATGATGCTGCTGAACTCACGCTGAAGAGCCCGGACCGGTATCGTCTCTCACCGGCTGACACTTCGAGGGTCTCGGAGGAGCTGCTAGCGGTGGCCGAACCTGGACCTGGCCCCCGCCGCGTCATCCGATTCGTCGCTGGCGATCCCGTGTCCAAAGAGCCCTTTAGCTTCGCTGAAGTTCAGAAGTACAAGGACGTCGCTGAGAGCATTCTGAAGGACTTCCAGATGCGTTTCAAGATCGATGGGGCCATCCAGGCTTGGTTTCAAGTTTGCGAGGCATCCAAAGGAGTGGTCGATTTCATATGTGAAACAGGCGTGCCCTACGAGCCGTTCAAGGGTTACGCGCCCCCTTCGCAGAAAGATGCAATGGGCGCAGAACTCCGCGATTCGGCCACTGTCCGCAAGAGAATGACTATGCTGGCCAATCGTATCTTTTGTAAATACCCGACACTGGGGAGCAAGCTCCGGGGCAAATTGCCGCGGTAGTGTTTGGCCTCGGACTCCGTGCTGCTCTGCGCCCGCAGCCTTGGACTTAGAAGTGCGCGGGCACGATCCGCCCCGGAACGCTCCTCGTTTGGGATGGGCCGTCGTCGTCGTCGTCGTCGTCGTCGCCGCCGTCGCAGGAGGGAGGCCGCGACCCTCGCCAGGGAGCTGGGCTTCACCGGGTTCATCCGCGAGGCATGAGCTGGGGGGCGGCCCGCCCGAGCCGCGCCATGTCCAGGCTGTCCAACAGTTCGGCCGGGCGCTGCGGACGACCTGTGCGCGTCGCGGGGACCTTCGGGGCGACCAGCGTGCTTCGCGGGGACTCCGCGCTGCGCACTGCCCTGCGCCTCGTTCGCCCGTCGTCGCTCTGCCCGGCGGCCAGAGCCTTGCCCGCTCCCAGCCAGCCAGCTAGCTCGCTTTGCTCCGCGCAGCGGACGACCCGCGTGCGTCGCTGGGACCCCTTCGGGGCGACCGGCGCGCGTCGCGGCGACTCCGTGCTGCGCTGCGCCCGCAGCCTTGGGCAGTGTGGTTGGGTCTGTCGCCAGGCTAATTTTCAGCGTTTTCCGAACCATCCTGTGTTGTTGGGTTTTCGTTTTGAATAGAGACTGCGCCCCGCGTCCCGCTCCCTCCTCCTCCCCCCCCCTGCTTCCTCCATGCGTTTCACCCACCCACCAATGCACCGCTTCGCGGCCCCATAGGTGGCTCCACGTAAGGCCCCAGGGGGGGGGACCACATGCGCCCCCCCCCCCACCCAGTACAGCGCTTCGTGGCTTCATAAGGAACCCAACCGAAGAACCCAGCGGAGGGTACCACATGCGTACGCCACACCCACTACGGTGTTTCGTGGCCCCATAGGGAGCTCCACCTAAAGCCCCAAAGGGGGGGGGACCACATGCGTCCACCACACCCGCTGCGGCGCCTCGTGGCCCCATAGGGAGCTCCACCGAAGGCTCCAGGCGCTTCGTGGCCCCATAAGGAGCTCCACCTAAGGCTCCAGGGGGGGGGACCACATGCGTCCGCCACACCCAGTACCTTTTTCCTAACCATCCTGTGGTGTTGGGTCTTCGTTTTGAAGAGACGTCGCCCCGCGTTCCTCCTTCCTCCTCCTTCCTCCTCCTCCCCTTCCTCTCCCCTCCTCCCCCTCCCACACACATTCTGGCACACCCCTCACACGCTTCGTGGCCCCATAGGGAGCTCCACCGAAGGCCCCAGTGGCTGCGCCCGCATGCGGTTCCACCCCCCATTCTGGCACACCCCTCACACGCTTCGTGGCCCCATAGGGAGCTCCACCGAAGGCCCCAGTGGCTGCGCCCGCATGCGGTTCCACCCCCCCATTCTGGCACACCCCTCACACGTTTCGTGGCCCCATAGGGAGCTCCACCGAAGGCCCC